ATGTATTGCTTCTCACCATTATTCTTGTTCTATCATACCTAATCATTATCCTTGTTTTGTCCCACTCTCTTATCCTTGTATTCTCCATGCCTAGTGCCTTGCTTAAGTTGAACTTTGTACAGTTTTGTAGGCGTCGTCGAGCCCCTCATGCCGCGGCATACTATCTTACAATAACAAAAGCTCCCGCCTCATGAGAGGCTCGAAGGCGTCAGTGTGATCGGTCTCTGTTCGTCTGGAAAGCGTCAGAAGTTCTCCTGGAAGTTTGGCTCAGTTGGTCTGAGCTCGTTACTGAGTAATCGTCCGGATTCTGTGTTGGAGCTTCCCCCTGAATTGGATCGTTTCGGTCTCTGTGACCGCTTGGAAGTTTGCCTCGTCCATCTGTGGAACCTCGCCGGACTATTCCTCAGTACTGGTATTTTGGTTTATTACTTCGTATACTTCAAGGTATATAAACCTCGTGAGTTTAACTGTTTGAAACACCTCACATTAAGGTTCATTCCTTCTTACCTAATAACGCGTGGCAGGTACATTACAGAACCGTTCGTTAAACCGTAGCACTACATAACTGATCTATTTATACGTCACTTGTGGTTCACCACCAAGTTATAGTACAGCGGCCCCATCTTAGTTCCAGGAAGTCCGTGAGACCGGAAAAAGGTGGATAGAGGTGGGTGGAGGAGTGGAGGCCAACTGTCATCGGTGGGCGGGGCATGACCAAAGTGGGCGGAGTTTGCGACGAAAATTCATAACTCGGTTCCAAGAAGTCCTGGAGACCGGGAAAAAGTGAATTGAGTTCGTCAACGGAAAGGAGGTCAACTGCTATTGGTGGGTAGGGCGTGCACCAACGTGGGCGGAGTTTGCCCTAAACTTATAATTTAGTTCCGAGAAGTCCAGGAGACCGGGAAAAGTCGAGTCCGACAACGCACGGGAGGACAGCTGCTATTGGTGGGTAGAGAGCACACCAAAGTGGGCGGAGTTTGCGACGGAAATTCATAACTCGGTTCCAAGAAGTCCCGGAGGGAAAAAGGTGGATAGAGGTGGGTGAAGGAGTGGAGCCCAACTGCTGTTGGTGGGCGGGGCATTTCCAAGGTGGGCGGAGTTCTCCACAAAACTTTGTGACTCGGCTGCAAGAAGTCCTGGAGACCGGGAGAGAAGTGGGCGAAGGAAAGGAAGTGAATTTCTAATGGTGTGCGGAGGATACACCAAGAAAAGTGAATAGGTGGGACATGCAAAGAAATAGGCGGATTTACCACAAGGTTCATAAATCGGTCCGGAGGCAGTCCGAGGCCGGGAAAAACGGACAATTGGTTGACGATTACGGACAATTGGTGGAGGAAGGAGGGAAGGTCAAAAGCCATCGGTGGATGAAGCATGGGGCAATCGGATAGAATTCAGCTTGAAAGTCAAATATTCGAAGTGTATTGGGCCAAATTCGCACGCCGCACCATCCTATATCGCTGCAGAACTGCGCTGTGCGGCGCCAACTGGTACTTTCATAATGCAGCTAACATGTGATTGCAGGCAAGACACTGAAAATCAAGACACTGAAAACAAGCGAAAATCAAAAAACCCTCCGTAACTCCTTTCAGAGAAGAGTTCAGCAGATAATGAAAGCAGATTTGAGTTCAGCGTCTCATGTTGCGTACAGAAATGTGCACCTCATTTCATTTGGCCGGGTTGGCCTAATGACCTTTCCTGGTGAGATGAGCTGCGGCCGGACGCGACTGGACAGGGTCAGAAACGAGGACGTCAGAGCGGTCATGCAGACTGCCCCTGTCCAGCTGAAGGTGAGGGAACAGCGACTGCGATGGTATGGGCACGTGCTAAGGAGGCCACAGGACCATCCGATAAGGAACAGCGATGGACTTCGAAGCGCAAGGCAAGCGACCGCGAGGAGCCCCAAAGAAGAGGTGGAAGGACGTGATCAAGAAGGACCTAAGTGAAGTCATGGCCACAGCAGAAGATGCCCTGGACAGAGCAAAGTGGCGACGACTGATAAGGACGGCGGGCCCTGCGACTGCGCAGAGTCCGCCGTCCTTATTAGTCGTCTGGAGAGATGAAGAAGAAGAAGGGGTAAGAAGGGTAAGCCAAAGACTTCTTCGCTAGTTGGCTAATTTCAGTGGAAGATTCGTCTAGTGTACTAATCGCTTTTGATGGAACGTTTTCTCCTGTATCGAAAAGTATTGGATCGGAGCATAATACCGTAGCGTTTTTAATGAATTCAAACAGTACAAGAATCACTTAACAAACCACTCGCACCATTTGAAAGCACTCCTCCCGCTCTACAAAAGTGAAGTTGCCTTTTGCTTCAAAATTGTGGCTGCACTCAGGTATAGAGCTTAGTAGTTGGAAAATTCAGACGGCGAAAATCGGCGTTTCGACAGCTGCTATTCTTCGGTTTAAATATTGAAGAAAAACTCCAAATTGGAAGTTATTTCGAATCCATTGTTCTAATCGAACCATGCTTTTACCTACCCTGCCTTTTTCGCTCAAAACTGAAACCATATACACTTCGTACAAATTGAGTACAAAAATGCTCCGAAAACGACAGACTCAATGTTTTTTTTTGAAATTCATATCCGGCAAATCCTGCGAAATGCAATCAAAGTTGTAAATAATGACGACATGGACATCACTGATTAGTTTTGTGTTTTATCCTTCGCTTCAAATGTTTTTGTGAAGAAATGAAAAATGCAAGCGCTACGATATTATGCTTCAGCTTAATATACAAACAGTCGGAACTCAATATATAAACACTAGGTAGATCGAGCTTCGCACCATTTTCCTATCTTAATTTTAGTTTTCTTTTCGTTACTTGTTCTGCCATCATGCCCTCTCGAGGTAAGCATATTGCTAAAGAAGAGCGAACCCAGGTTAGAGCTTGTCATAATGTTAGACCCTGCAATCGCAAAATTGTACGCCAGCCCGCTCGTGCGCTCCGCTAGTTTTGAAAGAGGTCCAGAACCTTGATGGTGGCCTCTTTCTTATCAAAAATCAGGGTCGTTCTCGATCGTCACGGCAAGACAACAGAAGAATAGACCCGCGTTGTCTTAAATTTTGCTTTATCTGCCATTTGCACTGGAACGACTTTCCGGTCTTAAAAAGTGAACTCGGCCAATCCTTAAATCGAATGAGCACGGGAGGTACATCAAAGAGCAGCACAGGCAGGCAAGGTCAAAATCCCACTAGTCAACATCGCAAAACAGCTGCTTCGTAAGAAGCCCAGATGTAAGTCTATTGAGCGTGTTTTTCAAGGGAGGCAGAGCGCAAAGGTTTTTGTGGTATTTTAGCCAGCGTGTTGATTCGGAGCACATCGTTATCGGAATCTTAGCGGGAACATGGTTCGCTGCCTCTGCGCCATTAAACAAAAGACGTAATCGACACATTAAAAATACAGCTATTTCTGGCGCAGATGCCATTGGCACTAATATGGAACCGCCAAACTAAATTCAAAATTTTGTCACCACGAGGAATCCAACCTGAGACGACTTTGATCCAACAACTTTCTTAACAGATTACCATAGTAGCTTTGATCTCCACACTCGTAACTTTCATTCCATCCATCGAACACCTCTATTCGATTCAGGTTCAATCTAAAGTTCCATGGGAAGTCAGAACACTTCCCTTGTCAGAGCCCAGAAACTCGAGGAGTTATCATGCTTGGATCGCTGCAAGGTATGATCTTGTAGCTACGGCAGCTAAGCTCCTCTTACGTCTAGCCTCAAGAATTGTTCAGGAACGATTATCATTGTTGTTATTATTATACGTTACAGACAGCTAGATGCCTTCATGAATTTAAATGAAATTAGTGTAGATTCTGCTTTTATTAAATCACAGGGGGAATCGTGTGCATGTGCGTGTACCTATGTGCGTGTACCTAATTTAACGTTATTCACAATTCGTAAAAAGTACTTTTTCAATGCGAACAATAGCTCATTTCGCTATTAGGTGCTGAAGCATGATAAAAAAGAAATCTGAGGACGCGTGACGCATTTCGCGAAAAGCGTTGGAGCGTTGAATATGTTCGCTCACTCGGTGAGAACTGAGAGGATTTTTCGAACTCCTGCATCCTTTTCATGCGCGATTGACCTATTTTTCCATTCCAAAATGCCCAGCTTTCACGAACATCCAGATGCTGTTAGGTTCACATATGAAGCTGCACTAGTCTCAGAAATTTAGATGCATATAGTAGACAGATTTTCATATTGAAAGCAATATTATTATATTGTATTGAATAAAAAGCAGAAAAAAAACATTGAATGTTTGTGTTAGGTGTGCCTTTACGGTTGATAAGTAGCAGCAATATGGGTGCTCATAAGTGGAAGAAGCCAAGGAAGTTACAAACACAGGTATAAACTGCGTTTCAAGTAATGAAATGAATGTATGTGGCAGGGTTACGTTAGTGGAACTCTGGTGAGAATACAAAACATTCAAGGTTCCAAACAAAAAAATCATCAGTTAGTAAGAGTCAGCAACAATCCCATCACTGGAAGAAACAAAGAGACAAATTAGTAGCTATGATTAGGATCGATTTTGTTCTAATTTGTGTTTGTGATGCAATATAAACTCAGAATCTAGTATTATAAAACACTCCATTAGAAGAAACGGAGCTCCCCATACTTTCGACACGAGGACATTTGCATGTCAAATATGCTTTGACCAGCTTTCGCATGTCTTGATACAGAATCATATAAAGAACGCTGCTGAAAGTACCTGAAAACACTTGCGATTAGTGTATAAGCACTCTTCATAACTTAATATTCACCAGTGCAGAGCAGTCCAATTAAGTAGAATGGACCAATGAATTCGAATTTGGATCCGCCACGGAAAGCAAAGATATTGAGAGCAATGCTCGGACACGTTACGAAGATCATAGAAGTAAGCAGTATTCCAGTCGAAATACGGTTAGCCTAAACAACTCCAAGTAACACATGTTTCAAATCTATAAGACATCGAATGTGAGAATATACCTGTTGAAATTTCTTCGACTCTTTAGTTGTGCAAGTTTGCAATGCTCGTGGTTTTCTTTGGAAAGTTCGCAACTTAATTAAGAATAAGGATGTCAGTGCAAGTACGACAAAGCTCAGAACCTAGATAAAAACTAATATTCTCAGATAAATTAGCGAATATTGAAAGCTGAAATTCTTCACCAGGTTGCTCGTGCCCCAATAGTATTGGAATGTGCGGCTCAAAAAGCACCATAAGGCGGCGCAGGAGTTGTGCTGAGAAGGCCAGGATGGTAAGCTAAATTCCAAAACAAGATCAACAGCAGCAAACAGAAGTCCTATCACAAGAGAGGCGGTAGCATATATAGAAGAAGGCAGCCTGCGGTAGGACGCCGGGAGAAAAAGAGCCTAAACTTCTCCAGTAAATGAAATTTCCCATGAGTAAACTGCAACCATGTTACCAAATTCCGTTCGAGTGCAACAGATGTGGCAAGTACTAGATTGATTTTCAATTGAACAGGAAGTGGTGTACTCAAAATCAACACATAATGTTGGTCGAGATCGATATGCGTGGGGCGCCAGTGTGATGTAAGATATATTGCATATGGAATAGCTAAAAGTGTATTTTTGCTTTTGAGCTACGCTTTACGCTTTCTGGTGCAATCTCGTAAATGCAAACTCACTTGCTGTTGCACTGAGAAAGTCTGTGACTGCAAGAAAATTGGGGACTCGAAGAAATGAGTGCTTTTCCCTTCTCTTAGCCCTGAATGAGAATAATTCATATGCTGAAAGTGCAGTTGACAACTCTAGACAAAAATCGTACAGCTTACCGAGTATGCATGAAAAGAAATAAAGCGTTGCTCACAATTGTCGTGAATTGAAGCAGCAGAATAATGCCATCAAGTATTAAATACGAAATCATTCTACCTGCATCGCTTGAGCCACCCTAGTAGATGATGTTTCCAATGGCACCCTTCACGTATGGTCTGAAAGTTAAGGGATAAGCGTGTGATAATGAATCCAAGCTCGTGCTTGCGTCTCGGAGGTTTAGGCATCCGGTACGTTCTGAAGTGTCGATTTAACAAATTTAACAGCATTTACAAAAAGTGCAAAACGGTCCAATACCAGTAACAAGTCCACCAAGAGATTACAGTAGATTTCTGGAATAAGTGGAGGGGCGGAAGTGGTGTAGTGACAAGTGGCGCGCTCACCACGCGAGCGGTCCGGGGATCAAATCCTGGGTCGTGAGTCGCCCGGGCCAACCAAGCCTTCCATCCCTCCGGGGTCGGTTAATTGGTACCAGACTTGTCTGGGAGGATAAAAACACTGACTTGAACATCGGCTGGCCCCCGCAAGTCATTGTATAGGCCACATCGCATTCAAACGCCACTGCGAATGTACAAATGGAAGTAGAATGCGTGCCGCATCCCAAAAAGGGATTGATCAACGGCAAATGCTTTATCCTTTATCCTTTATGAGTTCGGAAAGCGAAGAAATACTCTACTGGAGAGAAAACTGGACCCCCAAAACTGTGGAACGAGGCACTTCCGCCGGCTAAGGGTCCGCTCATGGCGGAACCTTTTCCGCGGTGTTCGTGCTGTACGACAGGCTACGCGCTAGCCGTGGAACTCCTGCAATCGTCTGCGAGAGCACCTCTTTCCACCTCTGTGCTTCGGGCTGGTAGGCATACGTCTGCTTCTTGACTTTTCGGTATATTTGTCATCCCCCTTTTAAACGTTTAAAGTGAGCTCCTTATTGGTGATGGTGGTTCTTGTATAACTTCAAACTAGCCATCTAGAGAGAGCAGAGCAAAGCGTTCACATTGATGATGCCAGCACTGCTCGTCCCAATGAGGGCATGAAGACGTGGGTGAGGTCACTTTATTCTGTCTGCCATCATTCTACGTTCTCTCTTAATATGCATCATTGATCACCTCTGCCTTGATTTATGAAGGGCTCCCTTCTTGTCGAGAAATCTGCCTCCACAGGTAACTAGCCATTAACACATTCACGACGACGCCCCTTTTCCACTTTTCGGTCGCGTGGGACGGACGCGATTTTGTGGGCGCCGCCGCCTCACCACATAACCGCAGATTTTGTTTTGTAAATGAACAAAAACATGAATGTCACAAAATAATTTCTGCAATGTCCAATGCGTAAAGATTATCTAAACATATAACAGTAGGATTTCGATCAGAACGACAAATAGTGGTTACGAAAAGAGAGCATTTATTCACTTTCCCCGTGAAGGAATTTAAAAGCATTTTACACTCGATTACGAGGTTTGCCCCACCTATCTGTCCATTCCTAGCGCCTGGCAAGCGATTATCAGTTGGCAGCCCATATGGGCTGCCATCGTCCCAGGAGCGCATGTTGTTGGCAGCCCATATGGGCGGCCATCGGCGTGAATGTGTTAAAGAATGGAGGTAATCCTACCCACGTAAGATGTCCTGGGTATTGAGTTACCCAACCGTGCAGAAAAATAAAAGTATTAAGAAAAATATGAGTGGCACTGACTTCTTTCACTTCACCAGCTCCGAACGAGGTCAACGTGGTCGGCGTGTGCGTGCAGATCTTTGATCTCATCTTCGTGAGCTTCACCACACCTGATGCCGCTGGTATTGATGCTGTTCGCTTTACAGCTCTTCAGATTAAGGTTCAAGCGCTTCATAGAACGAATGAGGAAGCACGATAGTTAGCCGTAATACTGGCGGTGACGAAGCGCAATTGCGCTCCCCTAGCACCGTCTGCGTTGCAGCCGACAGCAAAAGTCAGGGCTTGCGTACGACGACCTTCGTTGTGAACTTCTAGCGTTTTTGTGGTGCAATTTCAAGCCGCGAAGTCGGCCCGACATTGACGCTTGTCCACTCTCCACTAAACGGGATGGGATAAGTGAAGGAGCCCCGTACGTCGCCTTCAAGAGCGAAGAACCCAGTCACCGACAAATAATGTGGTTACCCATACGTGAAGTGTGACGTCAACCAAAGTGACTCAGAACATTCGCCGAATTGTGTATTTAAACGCGTAAGTGCATGAATGAGAAATCGACCAAAAAAGAAAGATAGAAATAGGACGAAACGCTAGAGGAAACTTTGAGTGTTTCGTAGAACGCAGGAACATCATACATATGTACCGCAATATATGTCCTCCACAGAACAATACAGAAAAGAACCAAGAACAAGGAAATTGAGGAAGCAGAGTCAAACTGCAAGAACAGAAAAGACCCGAGCCAAATGACTTACTATTCATTTTCTCAAATTAATCTTGCCTTTTCGCTGCGGACAGGACCAGCGATTGTAATTATTACGGCATGGGTAGGTATGGAGTGATTGGTGAAAAGAAGAGACCCTGAACTTACTACAGCTGTATTGCTCCAGACTTAGTGAACACCATGTATACATCGTAACTGCCGGAAGAAAGATGATGGATATGCGAAGGAGCAGCATCAAATTCCCTATGTTCGAAGAGGAGAGGCGCGATGCAACGTAAAAAAAAAACATCGCAGGACTGTGCCAAGTGAGCATACCATGAAGCAGGGGCGATTATTCGACAATACCGAAGAAACACCTCATGATCTCGCTGAGTGATTCCGGCTTCTAACAGATGTTGTCGTCAAGATATTGCGAGTTATACTTTCCATGATGCTACCACGACATTAGAAAAAGAAAAGCATAGGACTAGGGCAAGTCTCAACTGCGACCCAGGAATTCTGTTCAAATGTGGTGGCTAGCACACGGTATGCTTAGTGGATAGAGTTAGCCTTTTCGTAGCAATGACATCAAACATCATAGGAGAGGATCTCGGACGGTTATATCCGCGTACGTATCTGAGTCAATTGACTGCGATGGCTGGCACTCTACGATGACACGCCTGGGAATGCACAAAATGTGCAACAGCCAGGGGTAGGCACAAAACTGTGATGGTGGCTAATTGGCAGCAAGATGACGGAATTAATTTTTAAGCATTAGTGCACAAAAACACTTCATCTTTATTGATGAGAATCACGGGGAGGAGCAGCGATTCCCATCTCACAATGCCAAGCAAGTTAAATGGAGAGCACAAATAATGCATACAAAGAGTTTACCATAAGCACTTAACGCGTCCCTCCTCCTGTTGCTGTTGCATGGTATAACAAAATTTCTGGACCGCTAGACCCAGACCATTCTTCACATTGAGAGCAGGTCAAAATGAGTCAAATAGTAAGTTAGAGAGTTCTCGCAGAGGTTGTAATCAGATTTTCTCAGGTTTTTTAAGATTCTGCCACGGATCTCTTTCACTGAGGGTCCTCTTTCACTGAAAGATCTCGAGCCGGTTGGTGGCGAGGCTACGTGGCGCGAAACCTTGAATGTATCGAAACTTGCACATCAGCATCCTGACAATGGAGCACGTTTGCTGAACAAGCGAGGAAGTGGGGATGCGAAGCCGTTGAATTGTAAGTGTATTTCATTATGAAAATTCAGGTATTTCCAAGAAGTGAGGTGCTTTAGAAGTCGACAAGGCTGAGCTTTCTAGCAGCTGATTAGTTTATATCAGAAAAAGTTTGAGTCACTAAGCGAGAAGTGAAATTTAAATAATTTTGCACCTGCCTCTCTCAAAGATCATAACTTCTTTCTAATTCAGCGTTTTGCGACAAGATTTGACGATTGCAGGAACGCAACTTATTCTTCCCCTAGAAATCGCTATATATC